AAAAAAAAAATATATATATATATATATATATATATATATATATTTTAGTCTCTATTGGTAAAATTCTAACACAAATTATATACAAAATTAATAAAAATAAAGAAAAATTGTCACTTTTTAAAAATACAATCGAAAAGTAAAATGATTAAAAAACTAAAACTAAAATCAGAAAGTACATAGACAAAAAATATTTTAAATTTTTTATAAATTGAGCATTTAAAAATTAATTACTTTTGAACTATTTTTCAAATCTCAATTCTAAAAAACGTAGAACTAATTTCAGAAACATAATTAGTAAAACTTCTTAAAAGTATACAATAATACATCATTCATAGTCGCATCCAAAACTATAGTTGAAAAAAATCCATTAGACTTTGTTGATAACAAAAATCTTCGCATGATCCAATAGATGCTTGACACATAATTTTAAATTTTCAACTTATATAATCATTTTGATCTAATTGATTTGGGAGAAAACAAGTTTAATTGTTAAGGGACAAAACTATCCAATCTCAATGAACATATGCTTATAAGAAATAAACCAAACAAAACGTGTTTGGAGATTCAAATATGGAAAATCCAAATGGACTATATATATATATATATATAATATTAAAAAGTAATTTTGAAGTTCAAATCTCTCGAAACATTTATAACGTACGTGACACGACTTCAAATTATGAGCCACATTTTACTTAAAAATTTATTTTATTGCTTTTCATTTTTATCCTTCTAGGATATGTTTAAGTTGAGACAATTTTAGTCATTTGTTTTAACCAATGATGTAGTCTTAGTAAGAGTTCTTATGTTTAGACATTATTTGTAAAGTACTTATTCCATCTCATTAGGGGTAGTATAGTATTTTAACTTATCCCATTTGAGATTAAGGTTTTAATCATGTGAACAGAACAATGATTACACATAAGGAATTTTCTTGCATTTTTTGCTTGATGATGAATGAGAGTTCATTGACTCGTGGGGTGTTCAACCTGGCTTTCGAATATCAAGCTAAGCTGTCATCTACTTCCTTTGTGGTTGATTTTTAATTGATTATTTAGGGTTTTAGGTGTTGATAGTTAGAGATGTTTGCAGGGAGTATTAGAATCAAAATGACTCTTTTGAAAATACAATAACTAAAATAAATAAAAAAAGTCGAAAACAGTGACCAAATTAATGAACCAAAACTAAAAGTAAAAAAACTAAAATAGTATTTAAACACATCTCTCTGTATATAGAATACATACACAATGTATAAAGAATATATATGATATTATCATACCAACCTGAGCATAGTTCAAATAGGTTAAAACATCAATATTCGATCAACGTGAGTTTGAATCTTCACACTATACTTTGATTGGTGAGACTATTTAATTAGAAAGTATGAATAAAATATCAGATACGATAGTCTATAGATAATAATTGATCTGTTTGAACCACATGAATCCAGCTCAACCGCAAATGACATCTATTTTTTTCATTGAGATCAGAAGTTAATATTCTTATACCCCAAATCTGTAATACTAGGAAAAGAAATTACCGGTTTGAAGATCTTGCTCTTATAAAATTACTTTTTATATATAAAAGAGACCATTCTACTTTTTTTCTTTAAAAATAATTTTTATTTTTATTTTTGTTTGCTTCCTCCCTTCCTTTTTAAAGATAAGTCCATAACGTTTTCAAAGTTGAAAATATTTTTGTATTTTTCTTCTCAATTCCCATTGTTGCTTTACTTAATTACTTTATGTACCATTATAAATTATGAGCTACTAAAATATATTGTTCTCTAATAGTTTATTTATTTGATAAAATCTAATAGTTTATTTTAAATAATAGAAAGTAGAGAAGATTTATATTATAAATTAAATTTAAAGCCACTTTAGGGATTGGATCCTTCCAATTGGCAACAATTCAAAAGGTATATATTTGGATAATTTATTTTATTCGTTTCATAATTTTTATTTTTATTAATCATTAAAGTTCATCAAGCAATGATGACTAACCCAAGATAGATAAATTAAAAAAAAAGGTGAATTACATTTCAGTCCATTAATGTTAACATCTGCACTTATTTGGTACATAAATGTTTAAATTTGGTGATCTAAATACTGATATTTCAGCAACAAATCTAATTTTTTTTAATAAAAAAAAATCTACCTATTTTCCCATGGTTTTTTTTTAATCAGATCGGCGAAATGTTTACATTATACCCAATCTGTGGGGTGAAGATTCAAACTAAGCACCTTTTGTTTGGAGATATCTATCCTAATAGTTTAGTTATGTTCAGGTTGGTTCATGTCTATAGACTTTTAATGATAAAAATTAAACTCGCGTGGTTACATAATTTTAAAGTTTCAATTCTTTAGGACTCTTTTATTAACGTTGTCGTTTTTTTGTTTATTGTTTCCAATATTGTTGAGAACTTAAGCATTTGATAACCAATTATGTTTGTTGTTTCTCATTTTTTTAAAACATTCCTAAAATTGTATAGAAATTTTGGAATTTTTTTTATTTCTTATTTCCATTTCTAACAAAATTATATTTTTCTTTATTGAAAAAGAGGAAAACGAGAATATTACAAAGCCCTTAGTTACCTTCCATAAAAAATATCGATGGGGAGAAAATCATTAGAAAGATAGAAATGAATTCTTTCAAAGAGCAGCGAAAGAAAGATAAAATTTTTGTTTAAATACTATTTTGATCTTTAGACTTTCGGCTTTTGTTCATTTGAGTCTATGTACTTTCATCGTTTGTTCATTTTAGTTCCTATATTTTGAAACCTTTCATTTTGATACCTACCCTTTTGAAAAGATTTTCATTTTAGCTCATTTATTTCCATCGTAAATTTAACATGTTACTTCACTTATTAAATTCATTAAAATGTAGCATAGAGTTCTATATTAAAGGGTTTCTATTGCGTACAAAATTCTATAGACAGGAACTAAAATGAATAAAAATTAAAATGAATATTTTAAAAATACATAGACTCTTAAAATAAAGAAATTACCTAGGATTAGTACAACAATTTTAGAGACGTGAGAACAAACCTCCAATTTCGAGAGAAAAAATTAAGTATCTAGACCCATTAAGTTAAATTAACCGGCATCAATTCCCACCTTTTAAAATCACATGAATCCATTACAATAATATACGGAAAAAAAAAAGAAAAAAATTAATTAAAATTTAATT